ATGTCGAAGAGATACACGCAAAAGTTGTAGAGGGCGTGCGCCAGCTATTCGAAACTTATAAGAGTGAATATATCGAAAATAGTGAAGAAACACAATTGGTGATAACATAAATTACACTTTTGTGTTCAAAATTTAATTTAAGTATAAATAAAGGCCTCTTATTAAACAGTAAAACCATTAAAGATACGAAAAAAATACTGGTTTTGCAATGCTATCAGCGAGTTTTGTCAGTAACAAATAAATTGTTGATTAGTGGAAATCTCTCGAGTAGTTACATTTTTCGACAAAAACGTGTTTTTGTTAGAAAACGGTGGCACACTTATCTGAGATAATGCATTATGTTCAGTTTTGCATAAAGAACAATATTCCGTCGCGAAATTGTGTTTAAATAAAAACTTAAAAAAGATATACTAAAAAAACGGGGAAGGTAATCCTTATAAGTAAAATAATTTAAATCAGCATTTAGCGATTATTTTATGATTTTTAAATCATTATAGATTACAATAAGAGGTACGAATACAAATATGGGAATCAAGTTAAAATTATTTTTCGACGCTTACAACATGTTGATTTTTTTTTTGGTTAAAAGTTAAAAATAATTATTTTCCGTTCCTGAAAAAAACTAAAAATAACAACTCGTGCCCATTGTTTCGTAGTTACATATGTATGTAACGTATACGCCCCGTAGCACCATAGGAAGTAATGTAAAGTTTAGATTCTAAACGTTTACTCGCACGCCTTAACTTAAACGTAATTAATCATTGGCGTGGACGATTTTTTCAAAGTATTCCTTATGCATATACTATATATTACTTTCTTTATGTATATAAAACAATTTTAGAATGAATTTCGAGTGTGCAAATAAGAATTTTAAAAGTGGAATTTTTGTTTCTCAAATCATATCCATCTTTTACTCAATGATGTAATTTTTTCATTTGGTGGCACACTAGTTTTATTACACTATATTTGTTCGTTTTGGCAAGAAGAACATTTTCACCGTTTAATTTTAACATTTTGTAGTATCCTAAATTATTAAAATAAAAAAAAAACTTAAAATTTCAAAAAATACAAAATACTCGCGACAGATATTCTGTATGATGCAATTTTTTTTTTTCTTTGCTGGCACACTTTTGAAACTTCACAGATATGTTAAATTTGTCGCCAACGTCCATTGCCTCTGCTATGAACATTCTATTTGAAAACTTCCTAAAGTTCTTAAAAAAAAAACAATTATAATTTTTTCGAGTGAACGTTTAAGGCTAAACTTTTTCAAATACTTGATTAATTTTTTTATTGTACTTGTTTCTGGAACTCTATTGAAATATATGCAAGAAGAATGCTTTAGCGTTTTTTTTACTGGCGAGAGAAGGAAGTGACGTTAAAAAAAAGAACTCGTGAGATTTGCTTATATACATAAATAAGTTACTTCGTCGGTCGGAAGAGCGTTTTCTGAAACTACATGGAATAATAATCTACTATCTTTCGAAACCCAAAATTATAACTATGGTAAGTTATGTACCATTATTGGACCGATTGACGAGGAAACACTGCGCTTTTATCAAGACATAAAAGCCGGCTCATGCTTGGGCGATTTTTCAACCGAATTCTGAGACAGGGTGTTTTTCAATATGTTCGAGATAATTTCGGGACAAGCTCACGTCTTTTTCTACCGTTTAGGGGCATGTGTAGGACTATGCCATGATCACTTCGGGACTAGTTCGGGATCTGTTCAGGGCTATTTAAATGCCATTCAGAGCTATTTCAGAACAATTTCACAACATTTGCGACTCTTTCGCATTCATTTTGGGATTGTTTATGCACTATTTCGGGCCTGGTTCAGGACTATTCCAGGACCATAGGGCAACTAGTTCAAGACTATTTTAGGAATATTTCGGGACTAGTTCGGGATCATTTTGAGCCTAAAAAGGGACCATTCCGGTATCGTTTTAAGACTTGCTCGAGAACAATTTTGACAGAGTTTTTTGGAACCATTTCTGGACAATTTTGTCACGAAATTATCTTGAAATAACCCCGAATTATGCCCGAAGTGGTTGTGGAGAGGTCGTGTATTGGTCCCGACAAAATGAATGAAATGAAATGAAATGAATGTTTAATTTCTAATCTAACCTATTTAAGTACATGCATGATACGCCTTATTTTGTCTTTCTAAGGGCCAATTTCACAATGCGTAGTTAACTCGGAATCGGGAGTTAACTACAGATTTTTGTACTGAAAATCTCTAGTTAACCGTCGATTCGGAGTTAACTACGCACTATGAAATTCGCCCTAAGGGAATTTGAAGCAGAAGGCCTTCCACCACATTGTGGTAGATGTACCACTTTATTGAGAATTTGCCACATTTGCCATACAAGGTTTTATTTTTGCTCGTCATAATTTTCTTGATGTTTATAATTTTAAGACCGAAAAATTGTCCACAAACTAAAAACTATGTGATAAAAAAAACTGATAGCACTCTGCAAAGTTGCGGAAATTTTTTAAAGTATGTTAAAAAATTTTATATGGAAGGAAATTCGTGACAATAAATTTACACGAATATAAATTTACATATGTATGTATGTATATCGAAATATGTACATGTCGCCTGAAATGTAAAGGCCGTAACTCACAAAAATCCAAAACTTTCCTACTGACTGATTATACAAAATCTATTCGGCATGTTTTTTGCATCAAAGCTCACCCCGAGCGGCCATTTTTTGTAATAACAAATTGCAAATACATATTCCTCGGATTCCAAAACCCCCAGGAAGGCCTTTTGAATGCATAAATATTTGTATTTAAATCACTTTTAATTGTATTAAATGCTGCTTTAGAATCACCAACTTCAAATTGAACAAAAACGCTTTAAATCGCCAACTTGGGAAAACCGAGATATAACTTTTCGATATACAACCCAGACTTTCAGAACAACAAAATATATCGATAATACCAATAACGAGATCGATAAATGTATAAATCGCTATATCGTTACACAAGTGAAAAAATGGTGATAACATTATTATTTATATCCATTAAGTTATCGATAACAATTTATATGTATCGATAAATCGGTCGAGTTAAGGTATTCCTAAACGCACTCTGATTCTTTTTAACGATTATTTTTCGCACTTCTCACTATTAATCCTAGCACACATTGCATGCGTATGCAAAAATTTATTTTTTACCTGGAAAACGATTTCTTTTTAGTGAAAAAAAAGCTTTATTACATCTTAATTTCAACTGGACGCCAATATCATTTCAATAATTTCATTTAACATAAAATAAATGAAACTGAGATTTGCGATTTTTTATTCAACAAAATGAACATTAACATAGTTTATAATAAAATATAATATCAACCCCATAATATTTATATTTGTATGTATGTATATATTTGTAATAAATAAACATATGTAACTTAAAAAAAAAAACTTTACGAAATTTATTTTAAAACATTAAAATAAAATGAAAGTTATAAAATTTCGCAATTCGAAATATTCTTCGTGCTGTCTTAATTTCTCTTTACCGCCCACATTGCAGCCGCATAGCCGCCTACGTGATAACTATGTATACATACGTACATATATAGATATTTTATTAATTTATTTATCCTACAAATATTTTGCATTTGAAAATATGTATGTATTTAGCATTTCTAATTAAAAACGTATTTTTTCTCAACCAAGCGGTCAAAGGTCAACTTGTTTTTTTGTTTTTTTTTTGGATGCGTCTATACTTATTACTTTTTGTCTTTCTAAGAATTTCGTTTACGCCAACTAAACGCAGCATCTATGTATGTATGTAGGTGTGTGTGTATGTCTCGTAGTGTGTATGTTTGCATTTAACATGTCACATATGTATGTATGTATTTTTAGCTTCCATTTTGTTTATGCCTTCAACTACATATAACGTATGTAAGTATTCGCTTGCACTACTTGGCCGTACGCGCTTTGTTGATATTCTGCTTTTCCGCTTCGGTGAACTCCAAAATGCTCTCGATGGCCTGCAAGTGACCCTGTGAGTTCTCCTTGTCGGTCAAGAAGTAGTAAATGGCGCTCTTGAGGAACTGCAACGTCACCTCCGGATCTACGTGGGTGCGATTCTTTTGCGCTTCCAACAGTCGCCGATAAATTGTCTGCACGTGCGGGAAATGGAGGGAAATAGCAACGTAGAAATAAGAAATGGAAGCGTTTTAAAATATATTTACGCTCAAAGTGCATAAGTATTTACATAAATATTTTTTATTTTTTTTTTGTAGTTAACTTAAAACTTTTAGATACTTAATTTTTTTTTTGATTTTGAAATTATCATAAAAAACATTAACTAAAATTAAATTTGCATTTTTAAAAGATATTTACAATAAATTCTCGAAAAATAATATTGGTGCGAAATGTTTGCGAATTTCATGTAAAGAAAACCATAAAAATATGCTGCCTACCAAACAAACATACAAATGTATGTATGTATGTAGGTATGTATGATTGCTTAAGCAATAAAATATTTTAGTAATTATGTTACTGATGAGCGAATGTACAGTGAGACATTTAGATTATAGACAACTGTTTCTGAATGAATAAAACATAAAACATGAATAGTTAATGGGTGAAGTGATTAGAATATTTTTTTTTTTTTTCAAATGACATGCTAAATATTGATTTCGTTTAATATCTTTTCGTTTCGTGGTATTTGTATTAGAAACTGGCAATATTTTTTTTTTTTTTAAATACACTAAATGTTTTTATAATTATATTTTTGCAGCTATTTAACGCCTAGATCATTCATGAAAAGATAATGTATGTATGTACTATACATCTCTAAGAATACAAAAATATATGGATGTATTTATTTCAATTGGCGACTACATACCTTTATCCATTTTTACTTTTTCATATTTTAAATTTTACTTTTACTTTTTTTGTTTTTTGCTTAACAGAAGTAATTATATTGGAAATAATATTTAATTAAACTTATAAATAAAATAGTATTTGCCTTCTTAAAGATCGATTTTTCGATTGAATTTAGAATGTAGCCTTTAATCGATTTTTTTAAACTTACAATTAAATATTTTCAAATTTTAAACATTATAAATATGGACCGAACATAATTGACCAAAAATGTCGTCAGTTAATAGTGACTTTTTCAAAAAGTGTGGCACTTCAAGATCGTTGGACCCAACAGCCGCGCCTCCGTGACTATAAATAGAAGGCCTTGAATGAAATTATAAGATTCCGCAATCTTAAAAAAAAAAAAGAATTAAAAACCTGAAGTCATTTCCAGCCTCAACACACCGTATGTATGGCTATGCACTCCGCGAGATGGTGTTCTCTCACCCCTGTTGTCTCAGATTGCAGTTGTAAACGACCTTCTTGCAGACAGAAAGAATAGTCGCAGCATCAACTGCTATTAGGCACAGGGGAATCTGGTGGTTAACTGGCTCGGAAGCTGGACAATCTGGTGTTCTGGAGGGCAATGACTTCGTCCCTGAACAGACAGAATACTGCGCCCCCGAAGTGGGTCTCAGCAGCCATTAAAATTGAGCTTGCACTATTTAAAATATAGTATAAGATTCCCTAATTAAAGTCAATAAAACTAGCAAAAATTTAACGTTGGTTTAACTAATCTGCAAAATATTTGGGACCTACACTGGCGGCGGAAATAACAGACTCGTCGTACTTCGAAGAGTTTTGGCTATATTCTTTTAGTTTAAATAAATCAGTTAGTTAGTTAAAATAAATCATTTAAGTGCGAGACTTGTAAATTTTTGGGTTAAAATCCATCGCGAAAATGTCGATTTCAAATTTTCGAATTTTAGAACATGCCTGAAAATTTTCCAACTTTTTATTCAGAATTTTTAGAAAATTTTTGGTATGCAGTTTTGTGCAAGTTTTAATTGGCTACAAAATACCCTTGATTTTTAAGATTTTTTTTGCTGACGGTGTCACGCATTTTTTCTTATACAAAGCATGCTCGAAAATTTTTTTATATGGAAGAGAATGCCTAGCATCGTCAACAAAAAAATTATTAAAAATCAACGGTATTTTTAGCCACTTGAAACTCACACTTTACTGTACTAAAACTTAATTGGCTACAAAACTGCATACCAAAAATTTTTCTAAAAATTCTGAATAAAAAGTTGGAAAATTTGGTGAAAATTTGTCGAATTTTTATAATTTTTGTACAAAGTTTGAAAAGGGGATTTATTTGGTGTTTGTATTAAACATAAAATAAACCGCAGAAATATAGCCAAAACTCTTCAAAGTAAGGCGAGTCTATTATTTCTGGATTATAAATTAAACTATATTCAGAAACACGACTAAACGTGTTGCTCTTATAAGACTACGAAAATGATCGTACCTGGGGTTGAAAATCTGTGGTCACACCTCAATTCATGATAGGTTTGTCTGCCAAGAAAACGGACTAGTGCGAGCTAACCATAAATTTCGACAAAGAGCATAAAGTAGAAATCCCTCGGAGGCAGAAATTCACCCAGAGCCATCCGAGATATATTAACTATATTAGATGTAAATTTGACAACGTTTGTTAATTTGGCTATTTTTTCTTAGTCTTAACTAAAATTTTGATTTAGCTTTATTTTTTTGACCATTTAGCCTTTTATTTGAAAAAGTGCTGGCAACACTGATGGTAGAAGAGCAGTTTACTCTTCAACTTGGTGAGGGTGTTGGAATAAAGAGATATATAAGGCAATGAGTTAGCGGATGAGCTTGCAAGGGTGCGCACTTGCATTCCACTTTCGCTGTCTTAGAAGAGGTGGACCATGACACGCGGTGACACTTAGCAAAATTTTTTGTTAAAACAAAATTTTAAAGCCCACTTGACCATTGATTTTAGTTTTCAACTTGTCAATTCTATTTAGTGGTAATTTACGTACATACATAAGTAGACTTTTTTAATAAAAACAAAACATTAGATATTTAATTTCTTCGATAGCCAATTTTTGCGATCACAATAAACGCAAAATGCCCGTAGCCCGAAATATATACGACAAAACTAATTAAAACACCAAGGATCGAGAAAATTAAATATCATTGAAATAGATTCGAAAGCCCTGAATTGTGATTACACACTTCTGCTTTCACCTTCCTACTCTTACATTTACATACTACTTATGTATGTACGTTAGGGTGGTCCAAAAACAGTAAAATTGTATTGCTCTCACCCCCTAGGATTGTTCTATATCGAAAAAAGTATATCCCTATTTTTTTATTTTGAAATCAAAAAATATTTAGAGGTCGCTCAAAGTTTTCCATGTATTTTTATATATATTTTTCTATCGGAAAACTCTGTTTCTCTCCAAAAGATTCCCAGTAATAATATCCAATTGTTTACTTAATCATTTTTTAATACTAACGACTTTTTATTTGTCGCCCCATTGCAATTTTCGGGGTTTTTGGCGTATTTTTGGATATTATTACTGGGATTATTTTGGAGAGAAACAGAGTTTTCCGATAGAAAAATATTGATTTTTAAGAATTCTATATCATTTCTACGAAAAGTGGTTTTTCTTTCCATACAAAATACATGGGAAACTTTGAGCGACCTGTAAATATTTTTTAGATTTAAAAATAAAAAAATAGGGATATAGTTTTTTCGGTATTAAATAAACGTAGGGGGTGAGAGCATAAAAATTCCGAATTTACTTTTTCACATGCATTTTTGGACCACCTTAATGTACGTACATATGTATGTATGTGTAAACGAACAACAGTTAGAAGCGAGAAAGCGTAAAAAAATGGTGGAAATTTTATAATTAAACGCTATTAGACTTTGTTTAGTGGAACGTCGATATTATTTTTGTTAACGTAATTATTTTTGTTATCTGTGATTTCTTAGTAAGGTTTTTAATTGCACAATTTCCTTTTCTGATTATGTACATTAGGGTGCATCACCTAATAAAAGTTGCATTTTTTCCGGTGGAAATTATAAAGTTTATTATATTTAAAGACCTCTACTAAAGTATTTCGAGCTACTAGAGCAAGACCGATTTGAAAATACCCCCAAAAATTTTATTATTTTGATACCGTTGATAAAATGCTTAAACTCTCTCAATCATCTGAGGTGATTTTTTAGAAATAAATATTTTTATAAAAATATTTTTTTTTTATTTTTACAAAAATATTTTTCTAGTTAGTTTCAAATAGGTCCAGCTCACATAAATCTTAATATTTTACCGAATTATTTTGGCGAAAATCTTAAAGTACATATAATAAATTTTACATTTCCGATGGAAAAACAGTGCCGATTTTATTTTGATGTATGTGATGCACCCTAATTGTGCGTATGTATATTTTTGTAAAGCCTTTTATTTGTGTGATGCCGCACCCCATAGAGATGAAACGAAGGTATGAAATGAAGATACAAAATTTCTGTAGAATATGAAATTTCAACCAAAGCACCGAACAAACAAAAAAAGCCAAAATATGACAAAAAAAAACACCAATACCAAATACCAATTAGCATATAAAACAAATTAGAAATGTACCAAACATAAAAAACATAAATTAAATAATTTTAGAAGAATACGAAAAAATAAAACAAAATTAAATAGAAAAAAGTAAAAGTGTTCTACTAGACTACGAGATTTTTTACAAACCTTCCGGGCGCCAAGAACCCACAACGAAATTGCTTCTTTTGCAGTAAGGAGAGCATGATTACTGCCGCTTTCTTTTCTACACCCAGCTGCCTATAAAATATATGTAGTATATAAGGTTTACATAAAGATAAAAAACGTAGGTACATAGCATGTCTTGTAGTATTTATGTTTTCTAAAAAAAAAAAGAAAGAGATTGGGCTCAAAAAAAAAGGAGTTAGAAAAGTAGTAGCTGTGACTTTCACAGCGAAAGTTTTTTTTGTCTAAAAAAAAATAAACAAAATTATGCTAGATTGTAAACAAAAATATATTAAAAACTGGACGTTAGTCGAACTCAATAAAATACTTGTTCAAAGCAATTAAATAAAATACACGGAAGAATACATTCGGCTATAACTAATTCGTATAAACAATATTTGCAATTTTTTTTTTGTTTTACTTCTATTAACAGCCGCACTTTGCACATGTTAGTAACATAACATAAAAGTTAACTGTTTTCCAACTATTTACGTAAAATCATGCAGTTCATAATCGATTGAGAAAAAACTCAATAAAAAGTTACTTCAAAACGTTTTTTGTTGCCTTGTGTGTTTGTGGAAAGCCTGTAGTTCCGACTGTTTTATTTATAGTGTGAGTACTTAAATATATATGTAACTATATATATATATCTACTTAAATGTTTTACAGTTTTTTATTTTATTTTTATTTTTAACCATGCCCTCCTTGCGTTGCGGCGCATAAAACTTTCAAACACAGCGAGATTATTAACAAAGTGTGCAGTGAGTTTGGCATATTGCATTTGGTGGTAAAAGCTGATAAAATGTGTTAACTTAAAGTTCAATTAGTTATACTTTCCAATAATTGAAAGTTGTTTTAATGTCAAATGATATACATAGGTACATTAATATACATTAGGGTGGTCCAAAAATGCATATGAGAAAGTAAAGTCGGAATTTTAATGCACTCGGTGCTCTCACCCCTTAAGATTGTTCTATAACGAAAAACTGTGTTACTCTTCGAGAGACTTCCAATAACAATACTCAATTGTTTATTTTAAAAGTTTTTAATGCTAGCGATTTTTTATGGGTTTCCCTATTGCATTTTTTTAGGTTTTTAGGGGTCCTAAAAAATTTGTTAATAATAGAAAATTGATAAATAATCAATTGGGTATTGTTATTGAAGTCTCCTGGAGAGAAACAAAGTTTTTCGATCGAAAACTATTAGTTTTCAAGAACTCTATACCATTTCTACGAAAACTTGTTTTTTCCCATATAAAATACATGGAAAACTTCGAGTACTTTGAGCTACTTCTAAATATCTTTTGATTCCAAAATAAAAAAAAACGCATTTTTGGACCGCCCTGGTAAAGACACGCCGTTTTTTTGTGCTTTGCTGAACAAGCGTAAGTGGCGTACGGATGGCAAGCAATTCGCAGTTGTTACCATCCAAAATCCAAAGGCTAGAGTCATCTAAGGGAGTTTTTCAATTATGGTCCAGATTAAAATACTCGAGTGACGGTTGTTTGAGATCTGTATCAAAAGATAATTTAGGTAGACATTCGTACCCAAGAAGGGCTGAGAAAAGTTCTTACCTGCCTGCCCTCTAGAAGGGCTTCTTCTATTTACATTTTCAGTTACAACAACTAATTTTAAGCAAAAGAAAAAACAGACGACTTCAATGCTCATGAGGATCCGAACTCAACCTAATTAGTATGGGCTACCGTTGTGGTATCACCTTTCCGATAAAAAGATAATTATGTGGTCCAAAGTTAGCCGGTAACATACATACGTAAAAAAAATATTCCGTCGATTTGACAACCTTCTCCTTTTTTGAAGTCGGCGAATGAAACATATTTGATTTGAACTAGAAATGGGTGCGGGATACTGGGTGCCACGGTAACGTTTTAAAAATGGCCGGAATGGGCACTATCGGTTTTTAAAAAATTTTCGGACAGGAGGGAACCAAAATCCTTTCCCGCCACTCCCTGCAAAAAGGGCAAATTCCGAAAATTTTCCTTAAAAATGTTCTATGAAGTATACACTTTTTTATACATATTTTATTCAGACGAAAACGAACAGCAAATCAAAACCAAATAATCGGAAGATGCCAGAGCTTTCATTATTTTTTCTTTATTATGTTTTAAAATAAATTTGAGAGACCTGTGATTTTTTTTTAGCGCTCGATTTTGGGACCCACGGGACCTGCTGTACAATTCTGAAAAACGCCGGGATGGGTGGTTTCGGGACTTGAAAATTTAATTTCCGGATGGGATAAATAAATACCTTAAAGAAGTATGCTTTTTACAGCTTTAAGGAAACTCTACCAAAAGATCTTCTAGAAGCCCTTCTATGGGCAGCGGAAGCCACTCCAAATAAAAACAGAAAGAAGCATGGAGTGCGAATTGGAAGGCCGCTTGACTCTAACGACTGCCTTTTGGTAGAGCTTTTAGCTCATGAAATCATCTACTTATTATATGCTAAAAGGCTACCAACAAATTTTAGAAAATGCCCGACCAGAAATCAACAACCCCGCAAGTTGGCTACACTGAGAGAAAAATCAACCAAAAATTGGTTAATATTACCAAATTCAAACTTGAAAAGATATCAACGTAATTTTTTTGTTAATATTAACTATGCCTTGGTTGATATTTTCAACAATGATTTGGTAATATTAACCACAATTTTGTTTACATTAACCAAACTTTTGGTTGGCGGTATTTTCGTTTGAACACGCTAATGTTCTGTACTTCATAGATGCCTTTTCATAATTCGGAGATACAATACAAAAATGTTTGAAATCATTTTAACACGTTGTCACCGACGGGATTAGCAAATAGCAGAAAGCATCTCTACGCACTCAGCTACAGCCGCTTTGTAAATTGGTCTTTAAATGTTCAACTTGAATCAATTTTCTTCGTAATATTAAATATATGTATGTAATATATGTACGTAAATTATGTTTTGGAAGCCACCAAATAAACTAAAGATGAAATTGTCGCATTTTCTTTATCCCGAGACACTGAGTTTTCACATCCAATTTCTGAAAAACCACTACGCTAAAGATATGGGAGGTCTAAGAACGTTATTGAAGGGATAATCGCGAGAGATCCGCCGACGGATCACGCCGGCCGAAAACAAGTTTTGTGGGATTTTTGGGATATATCAAAAGGACGAAATGACTTAACTCGCCTAAGCCTAAACCATAAAAAAATATACTATGGGCCTATGGAATATGGCCTTTATTATGTACGAATATTACTATTTTGTAAACCAATTTATCTTTTTTGAGGTTCCATTTTATCAGCTTCTTTTCGCCAAAACATTCACAATAACTATGTAATTTAAAATATTTACAATCTTTAAGTTTTCTCAAAGAGGATTTTAAATGAAACAATTTTTGTGTTTTTTTTTTGTTGTTAAAGTCCTTGCAAATTTTCGCAAATTTTTTTAATGAAGCCAGAAATTTCAGTGTATAAAACTATGTAAAATATAAAAAAGCACAAACAGTTAAAACTTAAATAATTATATATGCACACATACATATAAAAGAAAGTTATATTGCGTAAAAACGTATGTAAAAAAAAAATTGCACAATTGTGGTTAAAATAAATACAATAACTAAAATTCGTACTCGGTTAATACTACATATTCGCTAAAACAAAACTTAAACAGATCAATAAATAGTCATTATAAATTATGTTGCTATTAAAGTTGTAATTTGTAACTGTGTTCTAAGCTACGTAATCATGAAAATCATTCGCGATGCTCTTTCAAGTAAAAAAAAGCAAATGAATCGTAAAAAAAAAAAACTAACAACTAACGAATAATTATTGCATTCGCATTCGCTATGCATTTGATTGGACTTTAAAATTTGCTTAGAAAACAAATTAAAGCAAACAAATGTTTACATATGTTAATTTATGTAAATGATGTTGTATTGTTGGTGTAGGTGACGTATGAAATTTAATCAAAACATAATAAGACAAAATGATTTTTGCAAATTAGTAAAAATGTACTTACAAATGGATGAGCCCACAAATGCGTAGGTCATTGTTATTTTAACGCTTGTATGAGAAATGTTTGTACGAAACTTTTGAACTTCTAAATACAGAAAATAATTAATTGCCACCATGTAAAGTTCACAATAACAAATTAACATAAAAACGAACCATTTCGAACTTTTTTTAGTTACAAACTTAGTTACGAACGAATGCAAAGTGTATGTATGTATGTATGTATGTAACTAGTACATTAATGCAACTTGTGATAGATATAAATGTATGCATGTATGTATGTAATTAATTAGAAGAATTATGCAAATTGTGAAATATGCAACATACAACAACACTTATGTATGTATCACAATGCAAATAAATGTAAAATGCAGAAAAATATTGAAAATAATATAAGAAATATTTTGAAAAATCTTACGCGTATATTTTCCAATTCATCTTGGGTACTTTGCAACTGATGCAGCAACTCATTGATAGATACTTTATTATCCGGTGCTCGATGTGCCAATTCGAGAGCCTGTTTAAAAGAAAAGGAAATATGATAAAATAAATTGTCTAAAATTTTATAGGGCAGCTAAAATAAACATATATACCATGTAGGTAAGGGTGGTCAAAAAATACATCAAATTTTAAGCTTTCTCTTGAAAATAAATATTTGAAACTAAAATGTCAGTTGAGCTGTTAAAACTCGGTGTCCCATTTAAGAGACTTCCAATAATAATGCCCAATTGTTTATTTAACCATTTAATACTAATTATTTTTGATCGGTCACCAAAAATCCCAAAAAATGGATTTAGGGGACCCATATAAAATCCTCAGAATTAAAAAAATGGTAAAATAAACAATTGGGTATTATTATTTGAAGTCTCCTGAAGAGAAACGGAGCTTTTCGATCGAAAAATATTGATTTGCAAGAATTATATACCATTTCTACCAAAAAGTGTTTTTCCCCATATAAAATACATATATAATATAATCTTTGTAACAAAAAATACGGGAATTATTTTTTTCCCATTTTTAAAAATCCTAGGGGGTGAGAGCTAAGCAATTTAAACTTTTTTGGGACCACTCTAATATATGTAGGTACAATAATTGAAAAAATTTGAATTCAGAAATAACGAAAACATCAGAAAAAAATTCAAAAACTGCGTTTAGGCAATGAATGGCGGACCTTCTTGACCTCCTTTCCCGAATGGTCTTAATCTTTTCTTTAGAGCCAAATAAGAAGCACCGTCTGCCCAACAATTTGTCCAGTAAAACACTTTTCCACGAAAAATCGGAAGGTTTATCTTCACAGAGAGCAACAAAATCAACTCAGGAGTTGGCCCAGGCATCAATCCTCGTATCGAAAGCTCACTGCTTTTAGCAGCTACAGCGAATGCCTTTCAGAAGGCCTGTAAAATTTTTAAGCCTCAAATTCGCGCAAAACAAAAGCTGCTACAAATATTTGGGGTAGCCATGCCGTCCTAAGGGCTTTAGACGGTGACATTTTAAAAGAGTTCAGGGAGAACGTTGTGGACGACAGGGGAATGAGGACATGCTCTACAGGCCTTTCTCCCGTTCCGTCTGGAAACAACATTTTCCAACTATGGCTTTTTGCATTATCGCAGACATTTTCTCTTATCCTTGAGAATTTCGACTGTTTCGCCATCTCTTAAGAAAAGGCGCAAACGCCGGCCCAAACAATCACAGTCACAGAGCCTCGTCGGTCATTAAAATATGCTTCCAAAAATCATATTCAGCGCGAACTAGAGAGGCAACGGGACCCGCTAGACCCACTGTACTAATTTTAAAATGACCGGGACCCGGGTTAAAAATCTGAAAAACATCGAGAGGCGAGTTCGCGACCTGAAAATTTAATGCTGGGACGGGCGGGATCGGGATCGAATATTGGGTCTCGCGCCATTCTCCAGTGCAAACCATTCAAGTGACTATTTCGTACCGCGCTGTTTCGGTGTGTGAAATTATACTGAATTGACGTTTAAAATACCCGAATACTAGAGTCAATCGATTAATATGTGTCAAAGTTATTCAGGGTTTTAGCAACCGACATAAAATATGGCGCACCCGTTAGTAGTTTGTAGTTTGGGCATCTGATAATTGCGAAATTGCCAGAAATGAATCTGCTGCCAAGAAGGATTCAGCATCGACTTTAATCGACGATCGGATCGTACCTTCAATTAGAAGAGATATGTCAATTATGACCTTGGGTGTTTAAGAGATCTGTCACCTGTATCTGATCGCTTCTGTTAATCGATAATTTTCATCAGCCAAAGGGAGACAGTTTTGTCATTCGTTTATGAGAGTGTAACGATTTGCAGATGCATTCCGGTGCATGTAACAGGCCAACTAAGTGCCAAAGGTGATAATTTACATAGAAGGTTTTGCAGTATCACCGATGATATGTACTATGTATGTAGGAATGTATATACAGGAATTGAGGGACAGCCGATAAACAACTTTAGAAAAACACACAGACTTAAAACCCAAACCTGGTACTGCAAGGTTAATAACGGTACTTAACCTTGAAACTTTACATGTCGAGGTTTTTTGAGAACTCCCATTTAGTCTGTCCAGGAATATACCAAAAGTTTTCCCAAGTCACTTTTACCTAGGATCCAAATCAGCCTAATTGCGAACGGGCGAGGGGTCACGTATACCCTGTTCTGGTTGCATACACCTTCTCTAACCCCTCCGTTCCGACCGATCTGGACCTAACTATGTATCCGTCTGGGGAATAGATGTAAGCAGCCGGAAATTCTAAACTATGTAATTGCAAAAACAGTAAGATTTGTGTGACTTAAGTAGCTGTTAGACGTGGCAAGTGCAAGTCCTTTTCAAAAGTCTGTCAAACTCAAGAATTTCCGAAAGAGATTGCAGGAGCAGTTACACCTTGAATGCAAAGTGACTTTCGAAAGCACTTCTTATTTCTGAAAATGAAACTTTCCGATACCACTTTTTGTCTGTTTACACGGTGAATGCAGACAAGTCCACTTTCAACTTTGTTACCAGACATTTTTATGCTTATAACAAAATTAATGACCTGCACAATTTGCTAAACCTGCTAAAATGTGCACAAAATAGTCGCAAAATATATAATACATATCAGTAGAATAAATTAATTTTTAAATTTTTTAAATTTGCATAATTTCAGTTGCAGTTATGTCTTGCAATGTTTATTTCCGAAAGTGCAAAAAGGACTTTCTGGCTGTTTATGCAGGAAAGTAGACTTAGGGTTTCGCATTTTGTCAGCAAAACGCGTAGAAAAAGTGCTTGCATTGCCACGTTTAGCCGCACCTTTAAGATCAGTTAAATGGAAAAATATAACAATCGAATCTCCGCTAAATTAACGTTCCTCCTAAGAGTATTCTTAAATGAGCCAAACAAATATTTCGTGACTTGTGAACTCCATATTCTTTTAATGATTTTTTACTTGTAGTACCCTGCAAAAATCGCGACTACTCCATGCATGCGTGTAAAGAGTACTCCCTAAGGACCAAAGAGTACTCCAAAATTAACCACAACTCTTATAAAAAAATATGGTCCAATTAACATTGCGATGTCCTAGGGCAGGACCATATACTCCATCCCTGCATTACATCAGAGTAGCAAAAACCAATCCAACATATTAACAATGGCGTTGTTGTTATATTTTTTCATTTGTACACGCTTTTGTTCTTCACTTCTCGGATGCTTTTTCGAAGTTAATAAAAACCAAAAACAAAAATTAAAAATTACATGTTGCCTCTGACGGCATTCGAACCCGAACATACTGGGAGCTAAGAAATAACAGCGAGCATCTCTACACGTTCAGCTACAGGCAGACATGCAAATGTGCTTTCAAATGCTCAACTTCAATCACATTTCATTAATCAACGTGTAGTGATCGGGTAACAAACAATAAGCTGGCCCAGAGACACGAATTGGGCCGCTACAGCATGACAGAGAAACACTTTTGTAAGTACTCCAATATACCACAAATAGACTACATGGTCCAACGATTTTTGCAGGGTATGTCAGAAGACTGGACTAACTACGCCTGCCCTCCCTAAATCAAGCGATCACATACATACATATATTCACTTCACCCACACTCACCTGATCGGCGCGAGCAATTCGTTCCGCCTCCTGTCCCTTCTGGTACATATGCAGATACATTTTATTTTGTTTCTCCTCATGTTCGGCCAGCTTACGCTGCAAGTCTTCCAAGTGCTTCTCCAATTCTCTAATACGTTCTTTGGCGTGCTCATAGTCGGGCACAATATCGGCATAGCGTGTATTACATTCAGCCAATTTTTGCAGCAACGCCTCCACTTTATCGTTATGTGAACGCTTCATTTCGCTGCTAGCGCTATCTTGTGTACGAATCAATTCTTCAATTTTCTGTTCATATATACGTATAAGCTCTTGTCTTTGCAGTTCATAGGCCTTCATGGTGGCAGCGTAATCTTCCTCTTCGTCAACAGTGCCGCCGTTACCGCCAGCAGCGCAACTCTCATGATGAACTCCACCGCCTGCCGCCGCACCAATTGCCTCATCACTGCCACATGCAATATCCTGCGTATGAGCAACATACGACGAATCTTTCGAATGCACTGAAAGATCCTCAAAATGACCCGAATCGGCAAAGGAACTTTGCATTTCCGACGACAACTGCTGGCTGGTATGATGCAAATGCTGACTGTGTGTATGCAAATGATGCTGATTCGGTATGTGACGTGGACTGGATTTGGTTGCATCATCGACCATATCAACAATGGGTGAGACATCTTGCGACGTTTTCAGTTCGGCTTCGCGCACAGTGACGGCATCGCTGGAGGCAGAACGCTCCTCAGGTGAACTCAGCGAGGCTTTGAATAGGCGCAGCTCGACAACTTCGCGTGTGAGACGCAATATTTCGGAATCCTTCTGTTCAAGATCTTGACGCGCCAAGCAAAGCAACTCCTTGAGGCGACGTATCTGACGTGCGGCACGCTGTGTGGGCGTTAAATAGTCGGGACCCACTTGGCCGGCATAATTGGAGCAATGGACGACATATTTCATCTTGCGGCCACTGAACGTAGTGCCGTTGCTGGAGGGGGGATGACAAGTAAAGAAAAGAAAAAAAAAACACACACCAAAAGAGTGGCGAAAATCAAAAATTGTCTATGTGTGAATTAAAGTATCGCTTAAGTACTTACCGCGCAACATACGGATGCTCACAGGACATGGTCGAACGGCCCGATGTGGTGGTCGCAAATGAATACATCGAATCTAAATCATCGTCCAGATACGTGCACGGCGAATCCGGTGTCACGGGTGGTGTCTTTGGCGTTAGTTTGGTCGTTTCCTGTGCGGTCGTTGGCGAAGATTTCACGTAGCGTGTGGTAGTGCCTGCTGCAGCGTTATTGGGCGTTTTCGGTGTCGAGGCTGTGGCGATCCTATTGCCGGCACTTCCGCTTCCTGTTGGTGTGGTACCTGGCGCTGCTAATACTGCTGCTGCTGTTGCTGTTGCTGTTGATTTCGTCGTAGTCGTTGTCGATCGTTCGCCGCCGCTGCCGTTCAGATTCAAAGACTGTATGTGTGGCGTAGAGAAAGGTTGAAATGTTATTAAAATGAAAAATTAGTTTTCGGGCAATGAGAGCGCGCGCGCGCGCGCATTTGTCGACGCCCAACGGACAGTGGGCAGTGGGCTGCGCGCAAAAAAAGCAAAATATAATACACATACATATAGCCTATGTATGTATGTGCATATGTACATATGAATAGATAGTACTAACCGAGTAGTGTGTTTTCAATACTTTCTACTTATGTATGTGGTGTTGATTTTGATAGTGTCTTGGGCAGTTGTTGCTATTTGTTTTTTTTGTGGTTAATTACTACTAAGCGCTCGCTCGATTGGCTTCCAATTTCGTTGTTTTTATTTCTACAAAAGAAAAAAGGCTTCTTTTTTTTACAAAATGTGAAGGTAAACGCGTACTTTTCGCACGAAAAGCCCGCTTGCTGGCTACTACAAATTTTATGACGAACTATTTAGCTGCTTAGCTGATGAATTACTGCCGCTGCAAGCTGCGCAAAACGCTTGCAGTTACTTACAAAAAAAAAAAAAACATGCAAAAATTAAACAAAAATTAGGTATTCAATGTTTGCGTGCCGCATAGCTACCGCGAACCGCGCTAACCACTCGAGCATAATTTTTATTTATTTTCACTTTTTTTTTCTTCTTCTCAATGAAGCCAATGTGCTGCGGCAAACAGAAAATTGAGAAATAACCGCATGAATCGCATCATTCGCTGCTTACAATTTAACGTCTTCAGCTGCTAGATAATGCTCGAACATGACCACTAAATGATTAGCGCTCAAACAAAAAAAATATATATAAAAATAAGTATCTAAGCATTAGAAATAAAAGAAAAGCCAAGTGCTAAGCGAGCGAGCGAGCTCATTTTAATAGCTTTAACATAAATAGTTGCGGCCAATTTTCTGCTCGAACTAGCCCAATGATCGATGTGCCGGATAAGGTGGACCAGTCAGTGGATAATGGTCGGATAAAGTAAAGTGGTCATATGAAAGGAAATAAGTAGTAAAAACCATTAGATTAGCAAATTTCTTATTCTCGTTTTTCTCTTGCTTAGTTAATGACTGAAGCGTACGCTGTTAATCTATCGCTTGGCCACAACACCTTTCCACCACAAAATTTCGAAATTTTCTCAGAAATCTTTACTTCTTTTATGCGCCGCACAGTGCACGATTTTAGGGGAAAAAGGGGCAAATCAAATATTTCGAGAACGAGCAGAGATAGCGAAATAAATATAACGGTGTTTTAAAGCTTTTGAGTTGTTAAATTCACGAAAATCAATCTCGTTGCATAAAGAATTAACTTCATCTATAAAATTTAATTCAATATAGTGGGTTTTCAAAAGTATTTCGTAAGGCAATTGCCAATTCTGGCAAATATACTGAAAGCTCTTTACTGTCTTTCGAAAGACTAATTGAAAGTTTTGCTTACGGGGAGGTGTTAAATTTATGTCGGTCGTTTATAAAATTAATATTTTTTTAAATTAAATTAAATTTAAAAAAAAAACATATTTTCCCTTTTAAACCAATAAAAACCAGTGAATAAAATTAGAAATGAAAAATAATCCATAAAGTGAAAATAAACCAAAAATAATATATATTTTTTTTTAATTCAATGAAGTTAAAAAACTATTTCTTAAACTAATGAAATTTAAAAATTAAATTATAAAAAGAAAAACAAGTACTAAATCAAGAAAAGAAGCTAATACTCAAAAATTAAACAAAATTAAAAAATATTATTTTTAAAACAAAATCTAAAAATTAAAAGATAATTAAATTAAAAAAGACAAAAAAATAAAATCAAAAAATGTCTGCTGGCTTTGCACATCCATGATACGGATGCGACTCCTGCTAAAGTCTAGAAAAAAGAGTCTAATGAGGAGGTGTAGTGATCTCCGAAATAGCAGCTATAACTTCTACTGCTTAGACTTTTTCCATTTTTCCTAAAAAAACAACAACATATTCGTGGTACAAAGCCTAATAACAATATTGAAATGAATATTAATACTTCGTTGCTTTTTCCATTTTTTCCTCAAAAAGAAAAGAAAAAAACATTAAAAAAAAAATAAAAATATTGAAATAAATATTTATACATCACAATAATATTTGCAAATAAAATAAGATTCTTAAAATTAAATGAAGTTAAAAAAACATAGTTTTCTTTTTTAAACAATACAATCAAAAATTAAGCTAAAAAAACATCATTTAAAAAACAAACAAATAAAATGTGTAAAAGTTAAAAAAAGTGTCTATCGTTTTAAAACAATACCATCTAAAAATTTAATAAAAAAAAGAAAAAAAAACATTAAATAAATTTCTACAAATTAATTGAAATTAAAAAAATATATATTTGTGCTTTGCTCAAACGGCTATTGCGACTATTGGAGCGACGCGAGCTAAATTATATACAAGTGGTTTCTGTCAAAATAGCTTTTCACCACGAGTGGTGAATGAGAGACCTTTTTTCAAAAACTTTTGTGCTAGAACAACAAAAGTCTCTCTAACTATCTTACCACCTGTCTTTCATTTGTCTTACGAAAGACTTTTTCCTATCTTAGCCAGAATTGCCCTGTCAATTTAAACATTTCTTCTTTTTTTTATGTTCTTTTAATTTTTAGATTTTGTTTTTTTTTTGAAAGGATAACTTAATTTAGATAATAAAAATTAATTTTATGTATTCTTTCCTTTGTTAATTTAATTTTCTTTTAATGTTTAGATGTTGGATATTCTTAAAAAAAATTTTAATTTCATTAAAGTTTTAGGAACTTATTTTGTTTTTTTATTTTTTAAATAAAATTATTTCTCTTCTTTTAGTTTAATTCTTTTTTTATTTTTATATTTTATTGTTAAAAAAAAAATATTTTTTAAATTTTATATAATTTAAAAATTTTGTTTGAATTTCCACACACACTCTTGCAGAACAAAGTACATGTAAATTTTTGTATTTGTTCTCCTGCTATCACCTTATATTAATTCACCTTGCCTTGACCTCGAATGTGATTTTCAAAAGTAAAATTTTAGTTAAAGACAGCATACAAACATAAATTAAAAATGCGTTTGTTAATTCTTCTGACCTTGAAAATTTTACAACTAATCAACTTTAAAATACCGTTACATTTAATTCGTTATCTTTTCTCGTTCTCGTTCTCGAGATATATTAGATTTTATCCCTTTTTTTCCAAAATCGTACACTGTGCGCCGTTTGGCCGGCCCCTTCTTTGTTGCCTAATTTTCCATCTCACTTTTTGTTAACAGCTACACTCTCCTGCCTTTTACCACCATAATTTAGACACCGTGACATTCAAGCAATTATATGTATGTATTTAGATATTTATGTTCTCAAGCGCTACGGACATTTTAAATTATGCCAGTTTAGAAAGGTCTCTGACCACAACCGGTGAAGTTAGTTGGCTTGCGTTTGAATTTTTTATTTCTTTTGCAAGTTTGTATACTTTGGTTTTTTATTTTATTGCCTTACAAGGTATTTGAATTCGTTTCTTTATCCTATGAATGTAACTATTTTTTTCTTCAGGATTATGTACACTAACTAAAAAACTACTGTTATACCTGATTTTGCATTAACTGCGTTGAATCTGTACGATCCACCCGGCAGTTATATTTCCCAAAAAGTGAATTTTAAGCGAGCTCCTTTTATAGATCTAAGGTGCGATATGATCTTTGCTTAAAAATTACTTGTTGAATACACACATTATTGGAATTTCGAGATCGAAAATTTAATCTCTTCGTTTCACCCTAATGTATTTACATAGGACATACATATGTACATATACGAGTACTTATGCCAGTTTGGTGCTCTGAGGTATTCTTAAAGAAAAAATCTAAAGTAGAACCACATCTGGCCTAGAAATTTGAGTTTCTGTGCTATTTGAACCGTATGTACATATGTACATATAACGCGTATTAAAAACTAACAAATATTGGCAACTATAACTATCTTAGGTAAATGTATGTACATATATACATACTTGCATACTAGTTCATAAGTATGGAATTATTTATTTTTAAATAAAAAAGTAGGTTAATATGTTTCGCCATTACCTATGTTTGTATGTACGTATTTATATACCTAACTATGTATGTATGTATATATGACCAAAACGTGAGAATCTATGCAACTATGAGGCAAGAAAATACCAAATACTTACGACTACATACTACTAAATTTGTATGCATGTTAAAATGTTTCTGCCACGTTTTTCAGGTTGATGAATGCAAAGACAGTACCCGTATATACTTACATACCTACGTACTTCTAAGCATTTCATGCGAATTGTGTTGCAAAAAAATATAAAAGTGTACAAAACAAAAAAAACCGCTTAAAAATGTGGAAGCGTCAAAAACCTGAATAAGTGACACTTTTCCTGCCATAAAAATAGGCTTTTTCCGTACTAGTAGTCATAAATATGTATGTGGATGTCGCAATCATACAAGCCCTGCAAGAAAATAGTACTCGAAAGTAGTTAAACAAAAGACAATCAGTCAATTGACTGCAAAATATATAATTTTACCGATCTTAATAAAGTAATGTACATTCATATTTAAATTAGGGATGGGAAATTCGACTCTCGAAAATCGACTTTTTGCTGAAAAAACTCGACTTTTTTAAAAGAATGTAACTCCGTGTTGCGAGTAAAAAGCGCTATCAAAATTCTGTAGTAGTCCAAATGAACGTTCGGTAAGTAGGGGCGACAGACTATATGGTAGGCAATTTGGACTTCAGCTGTAATGTGCAAGCGTTATTCCCATTCAGAAGTGACTGGAGAAGAGACCGCGCGGCTGATCGAGAAGCGATCTCTCTATACACCGACGTATCTAAGATGGATTTCGGTGTAGGAGCGGGAGTCTACTCCGAGGAACTCGGTGTGGCTCTATCTCTACAGTTGGGAAATGATACAAGCATCTTCTAAGCGAAGCTCTAGGGATCCTAGAAGCATGTAAAAACCTAGGCAATAGAGTCGGGTACAAGAGTAAAGCAGCAATATATACTGACAGCTACGCGGCGCTATTGGCAAATCGCAAATGGAAAGTGATACTGAGCTCAGACTCGCAGTCAACTACCGTCTCTTTTGTGTGGGTTCCCGAACATAGGAACATAGAAGGCGGATAAGCTGGCGAAGGCAGAAGCCGGTTTGGATGAATCCCAAGCAGTGACACTCGGTTACCCCCTTGGAATAGTCCAAAGAGAGATTAATTACTACGCATTTCCTTGAACTGGCTAAACGCAGGTGATCAGATATACAGACTTGTAAGATATCGAGAAAACTATGGTATAACTATAACAGGGCGAAAATATGTCCTGGGCGGCGACCATGAAGCACTGCAACCAACCAATCAACCAACTAGGTCGTAGATTTCTGTATCTCCAACATGGGATCCCAATATGTTAGCCGAGGACGGCCACGCTGAAAATATGACAGAAAGGGCAACAGTCTCTTGTATGGCTCTGCATATCAGTTCTGGGATAAGAAGAGAGGTTGGAAGGACTCTCATTAGCGGTCTGCCACCGGAAAATAAAAGAGGCATCAGGCTTCTGAAGCAGTTTCGGTGCACCATCCATCGAAGAGAGTGGTGCTTCTAGAATGCAATAGAACTTTGTTCAATTACTTCGGTTCCAGCCTTATGATATCATGTAGTTCAGCCTAGAAGACCTTCTTGGTTTCGAAAAACGACTGCTCTCCCTGGCTGGGCGGCAGGGACTCTGCGAACCTTAGCAGACTAAACCGGATTGCTTGCTTGACAAAAGGTAGGCACATAGCGGAGGTACAATGAGCAACCATTTTAGAGTCTGCGACAATATGGCACTTTAAAACTTTGGATTTAAAAACAAATGTTATGAAGGAAGAAGGAAAGACGCACGCGAAAAATAAAGTATGAAAAAGCTTTATCCAACTGACTGCCGCGTTTGCCCGAAATCCAAACCAAGCTAAGTCAACAGAATCAGAGAAGATAATGGGCAAGCTAAGTAACTTAGACCACGACTTACATTCTTATCTATCTTCAGATTTGGCTCTTTGCCTTTCTTTGCCTTCGGGTAATCAAAAGCGGTAATCAAAAAACTCTAAAATGGAGATATCTTACTATTACATACCAGGAAAACTTGTTGTTTATTTTATTACTTAGCGCATGAAACAGTCTGATGCGTCAGAAACTACACTATATCATCTGGTTTCAACACGTCTGTCGTGTAACACTGGTTGAAATTAGAAAGGTTACTACTGTAGCTGCAGAACAAATGTTTTAGCTGCGCAACAAGGTATCTTTTTAGGCTTGCGTGTACATAAGTATTTATGTACATACATACGAGGGACGCCTGATAAGTTAACGACTAAGGTACTTTGCGAGATGCCTCATCATCTCGTTACTGATAACACTAATTGCGTGAGTCATTGTTAGTTTACATAAATAACACACCTTTTTTTATTTGGTTCATTATCTTTTGCACTTGAAAAAAAAATTAAATTGTGCTGGGTACCGTGAATGCTCACGCCGCTCAATAAGCAGCGACGATTGTAGAGTTTTGAAGATTGTTTTGTTGCTGTGTCAGAGTGATTTGGATGAAATTGCAACTGCATTTTAACAATTACTAAAACCTACCTTTGCTGTCTGGGAAGTTGAGATCAGTATAACGCAAAAAGGCCATACAAGCTGTTCTGAGTAGTCTTTTAATAAGTAGTTTTCTTGAAAATGTTTGTTGTTTGAAAAAGTTAAAACTGTTCTGAGTAGGAGAAAAGCCAATAAAAGAATTCAAAGTGGCACAGTCGGCGTCGAAGATTATAGCTACAATCTATTGGGATAGCTAGGGAGTTTCATTAATTGATTGACTTGCCTAGAGGTACTACAAGGAAGCATAGTACTGCTAATTTACTAGGCCAGGCAACTAAGGCAGTCGTACAGAGAAGATGTGCCGAATTGGAGCGCACGCTACATGAGTTGCAAGGGATGCCCCGAAAGCTATGCACTTAACAGTGCGTAAATGGATGAATCGAAGTGGCATTTTGCCTTTTTTTCGATTTAAAAAAAAATACGGAGACAAAGATTTTCAACAAACCGACATATGCGAGCAGGGGAACCACATTTCCCGCTCATTAAGTACCGCCGCCGAAGAAGTAATCGGATTTCAGCGAGCCCGAAAGAACAACTGGTACAATGAGGGGTGTCAAGAAGCTGCAGATAAAAAATATGCCTATTAAGCTATGATCGACCGCAACGCCATCCATGTGGAACCATTATATGGAACTGAAGAGGAAAGCGAGACGTATTTTCCGCAATAAGAAGAGCGAGGCCGAAATACGTGAGTGCGAAGAGCTTGAAATGCTGGCCGACAGGAAAAACGCCGGAAATTTTTATCAGAGAGTTAGACGACTTACGGAAGATTTAAAAATCGGGGCAAACTCATATACGAACAACCATGGCGGCCTAGTGACCGATGTCCAGAAGGTACATAAATTATGGAGGGAAAAGACGAATAAGACCAACCCGAACCGATGACGATGGAGTCGATGTCCCACCGCCTTATTATGACGAGGTACGCACAGCGATTACGCGGCTGAAAAACAACAAAGCTACTGGAGCTGACGGCCTGCCAGCCAAACGATTCAAGTACGGCGACGAAGAGCTATGAAGGTGAATTCATCAACTCTTATGCAGAATATGGTNGGACAATGAAAGCAGCGGATGAAGTGGCTCTTGGAGTATTCGAGAGAAAGATTCTGCGAAAGATGCCTATACCTATCAGCCGCCCCTCGTACGAATGTCATCATTTGTTTATTTCGCCTTTTTATTTTCTTTCTCTCAAAGAACAAGCCCCACAACACACCGGCTAAAAAAATGGTGCCCAGCCTTTTGAGTGCAGATATTAAATTATGCAATTACTACAGCACTTCTGTCGCGGTACGAAGCAAGTATTTATTAAAAGGTAGCCTGAATAGGTGTGCTAAGGGCCGCAAAGTCATACATAGGGCAGCAAGAGTGTTGGCGTATGCATATATACATATGTATGTATGTAGTACACTGGTACACGTGTGGGCTCAGTATTTGAGTGTAGGTAGCACAGAAAATCAATAGAAAAACTAATGACATATACATAACTACATACGAATGTATGCATATGCATTCAGCAAAAAAAAAAAATTATGAATATATAAAAAAGGACGTGGAAGGAAAAAACTTTCAATTAAAACAAGCATAGTTACTCAAATGGCAGAGAAAATCACAAAAACAAAAAACGAATGGGAGCTAGTGATTTGTATGAATTAAGCACAAACATACATACATACATATATATATATGTACGTACAAAAGCAAGGAACCAAGTGATAGTGATTATTGGAAATATCCTGCCAACAAGTACATTTTTGTATGTACATATGTATGTATGTATGTATGTATGTTGTGTGAACTTAGTTTTATTCCTGCAAGGTTTTTGTAATTTGGCATTGCGCCAGTATTTTAATCAAAGCTTATTTAGGAAACAGCAATACTAAAAATTTTGCAACAAATTAGCAGAGAGAGAAGGTTCGAAAGAATATTAATTACTTGGGGTAAACAGAAAACGAAAAAAAAAAAATGTATTGTTGGTTCTTAACTTGTGATGAGAAAATTAGCTGTATACTGTAATAGGGAAAATCAGTATAGAGGACAACCATTTCTATAGCAATAAGGACTTTATTGAAAGGTGCCTGTGTGGGCGCCTTAGTACGAATGTATGTATGTATCTACATATGTATACTCACACTAACTTTAAAGAGCGTAATATAAGAGGTGGGGCGGGTAAATTTGGAGGAAGTTTTCAGAAAAAGATAAGGGCAGAAATTGATTCCTCATACCAAAAAACCCCTTCTAGCATGTTTTTAGACAAATTGTAAGCACTTTTTTACAACACTACAACAAAATGCTAGGAAACCTATTTTCGCAATTAGGCAAAATCTAAACTGATTTTAGAACCATGGTTTCTTCGGCAAATTTGCTTAGAATTATACGTAGAATCCTTTTATGTTATACACTCATCTCTCATACAAATTGACATTCAAACTTTTTAGGAAAACAACAAAACAAATATTTAAAAAAATAAAAAATAAAAATTCTAAAAACATTTCACTCTATCGCAGGTATTAAAATTGTGCTTATTTTCTGCAAACCAAACTTTCACAATCTTATTTTATTCTAAGTGTGTTCCGAATTCAGTAAAGATTTCTTTACGAAACTTCAACAAAAATCATAAGAAGTAGTTGACACGAACACGAAAAGAAACTTCTTTACAATTACTTAGAGAAAACACTGGACAATTTCTTCACATCGCATATTTATTTGCATGAATTGTTTTACCGATTTCTACCGAAATTTCGTAAACGATTCGAAGTACTTTTCTCTTATAAAATCGAAAATAAATCTGAAAGGCGAAAAATGGTTTCTTTACGAATTCTTTAAAATTTACTTTTTACTTTTGCATAAAATTGATTATTTTTCACTACCTGTAACACTAAAAAATGTTCTTTAGCAATTTACCATCGATTAAATTGAATCCTTGCTCTCAACTTTCCATAACAACATTGGCACAATGCCAGCTTATAATTAAGCGCATAAGAGCAGAGAAAACAAACAAAAAAAAAACCAAGAAATTAAACTTGCAAAATTAAAATTATTGAATTTTTTTCTCTACACAATTTGCAGCAACACTTTTACTTAAATTTTTTTGTTTTAAATCTAGCGTAAACACTTGCACATCGCCAAAACAGAAAATCAACTAAGCCTACACCTGAGTTTGAAAGCTACAACCTCCAAGTAGCTAGCCAGCCAACGAAGGTCCAAAAAGCAAACATTTATGGTGAGGAATGACAGGAATTGATGGAACACGTACTTATTTACACTACTAAACTTATGAGCGGGGAGGTTCTCCATTGCTTACTTTTTCTACTTCCTGTTCCATCTCACCATCAACGACGCTCAACCACACATTTCATGGTTGGCATGGGAAAATTCCGATTTTTCAAAACATCAACAAAAATACATCCCTTATATTGAAAAGCCATAAAGAGAGTGAAAGGCGCTTAAAAGAGAGTGTGGGAGAGAGAGAGAATGAGAGCGCGAGAAGGTGCCCACTCCAAACATGGCAATCTGACAATTCGTCTGCTAGACAAATCTAGTAGCGGGCTATGTTCTTCAAAAGGGTTGCTGTCCCCAAATCAGCGGAAGTGGAGGCCCACAAAGGAATTGTTTGTAACTTTAGTGGTATTCGTTTGTTTACTTGTACTCGACCAAAACATTTGTTTGTTGAGGGGGTTCCAAAGCTCTTGTTTGGTACAAGGACAACAGCTGGCACTTCACGTAGATTTAATGTTTACAGTGTCTTATTTGCGAAATAAATCGCTTAAATTTTTTTTACAATATTTTAAAGACAAAAATCTGATAGGAAACTTCGTAAAGAATGGACGTAAAAATTTACTCTATTCTACATATACATCGAGCCTTAACCGCCAAAAAGACATAAGCAACATTTTTTTCAAAATTTTCTTTTTGTTGCAGAAATGTTCCCAGAGCATGTAAATTCATGAGGGCTCGATACGTATAAGAACATTACCGCAAAGGAACTATTTATGTTTCTAATCGAACTTTTCGGAGCCATTTCACCTCTTTTTTTGCGTAATTGAAAAACTAAAATGACAGTTCAATGTACTAGAGATGTCAGTTTTCAAAAACCATCGATACATCGACTATTTATACATCGAGTGGAAAATTGTCGATGCATCGAAGCAAAACCTCGATATTTTTCCGACATCCCTAGGAGCGGGCTCACTTGAACATTTTTGTATTACGCATTGTGTTATCACTTAAAATATATTTTCCTCGAACAATAACTGCAAGTTATTCACAATAAGTTTTTAATAAAAACGCTGGATACACAAAATGACGTTCGAAAAACTGGTGATGCCCATCTCAGAGAATTTCTAAGAGTGTTGATGATATACATATGTATGTATTTCATATATAACCGAATTTCTGTCCAAGGAAAACACATTTCAAAAGTTCAAAATTTCACAATTTTCCGGATTTTGCTAAGCTTATTTTTTGAATATCTCAAAAACTATTTTAGTTACAAAAGTAGTGCTGGTCTCGTTTGAGGGGCTGAATAAAAAAAAAAAAAAAAACAATTTATAAAAAAAGTTAGAAAAATAAAAAAATAAAGAATTTAGAAATTTAAAAATCGAAAAAGTAAAAACGTATGTAAATTTTTGCCTCAATTTTTAACCAGCTTCAAAAAAAGGAGAAACTTGCACCATTTTAGAGAATTATTTTTTTTATCGGAAAGGTAGCACCGCAGGGGTGGTTTCATAAGAGTTTTGTTTAGTTGCGATTATTGGATCATGTTTTATACCATCTCACTGACTTTAAAAGATCTTGAAATTCTCAAAAAGTTTTTTTTTAAAGCTATGTATAATTTTTTGAACTTTGAAAAAAAATATTCCAAACTCTACATTAAAAATAAATTTAAATTAAATAAAAATTGTTTAACATAACTTTATGTAGAGTTTGCAAAAAAAAAAAACATTTTTTTTGAAGATCAAAAATGCATATCTTAAAAAACACCTTGAAAATTTCAGGATCATTTAAGATCAGTT